CTTCAACACCGGGCCAGCAAGCCATGGAAGCAGGGCGCGACGGCGCTCGACCCCTTCACCCCCCCTCCACCTCTTCTTCCTCGGGGAAGCAGAGCCGAAGCGGAAGCAGAGCCGAACTCGCCGCTGTAGACGTGCTCGCTCGCCCCTAGTAGACGTGCTCGCCGCTGTAGATGTGCTCGTCGGGGCCTCTCCTCCGACGTCACCGGTGAGCCACCGCGCCCTGCCCTCTCCCTCTCTGCTCCTCCCTCCTTGCCCTCTCCCTCTCTGCTCGATCCCCTCTCTTCTCTGTCTCCACTTTCTGTTCTTGCCTGTGAGGTGTTTGATTAAATGTCAATTCAAACGATTGATGCAGCCGCGTCCATCGGAGCACCACGACCGCGTCTGCGACCTCGTCTCTGCTCCACCGCCGTCTACGACCTCGTCTGCGACCGCGTCCGTCGAGGTGAGTTCACCAAAATTCAGTAGTGTGTGCACCAAAATTCAGTGTTGTCTGCATTTTGGTTGTAATCTGGGTTAACTATGATTTTTCCCTTTTTTGGCTTTGCTATTATGAACATAAACAGTTGGTAGCAATTTCAAGTGATATATATGTGGTACATTGCCATTAATGAAATAAATGGAATCATGCATCTCATTCCATGCATGGTCTGTGTATGGTGCTGTCAAGATTTAGTGTTTTCCTTGCTGCAACTAATCTTGCAGCAATATTCTAGTTAGAAGTTCCTTTGCAATACTACATTCTTCCAACTAATGCAAGCAAAATCAGAGAAGCCACTCCTTCTAACTACACTAGAGATTGTAGTTAAGTTCTAAATAATCACCCACTAATTGCACCCTTCTAATTAACTGCACAGGAGATCCACCCCTGTAACCACTCCAATGCATCAACAGAGAAGTTTGCTACATGATTGCCATTATACTCCTTGCTGCTAGTTGCATTATTTCTCAGTGCTACAAATGTGTTTAACTTGTAGCTTCTAGCTTAAGTGAGTAGCCAGTACTTTAGTGAGTAGTTAACTTGTTTAAGTACTGCCAGTTAGTAGTACTGATATTAAATGATGCCTAAAATGATGTATTATGTATCTTTAGCATGATCTGTTTCACATAATAAATGATACCTGAAATGAATTCTTGTGTAAGTGAAGGCTTGCTATGTTATTGCAGCCAGCAGTTTTCTGTTTCCTCATTTGGATTACTCAGTTATTTAGTTTATTATTACTTGGGAACAGTACTGTGAGAAAAAAATGATTATCTGCATTGCATTGTTAAATGTTGTACTAGGAAGTGACATGGAGCAGTGTAGTGGCATGGCCATTGACCTATGTCTGGCATCTAGACAACACACACATATATACAGAGGCACATTGTGGTGCTGCTTTGTTTCTGTGATCACATTGTGGTGCCTGGCACATTTGCCCCATCATTTCGTTACCCCTTTCTCCTGAAATGTTGATTAATTTCCGTTTCGGTTGAGAATGGGGCACTCCTAGG